CTCAGGTCTGTAGACTCGTCTTCAGAGTTCTCAGGCTCTGGGTCCACAGCCAGACTTGGCAAGCCAAAGAGGTCTACGCTCTTCTTGCCTTTTTTCTTGGCCAGGACCTTCTCTTCAAGAGCAAGCAGCGTCTCTTGAACTTTCTGGAACGTGTCTGTCCAGGTAAGTTCTTTAACGTCGACCCTGTAAACCCAGCCGTAGTTCTCGTCCCACTCCTTAGGCGAGGCTTCAATTTGCTCCGTTGTCCAGCCTTTTTTCTCCCAGACGCTCTTAGGCAGGAAACGGCCCTTGACGGTCTTGGAGTTTTCCTGGATGCGTCGCTGCGTGAGGGCAGTGCAAAGGTTGGCCTTCACGCTCTGAAACGCAAGGTTGCCCTTCTGCTTCCTCTTTTTCTCCGCCAGTTCTTTGTAGAAGTCTTCACGTTCTTGGCTGCCGAAAGTCTTCAACTCTTCAGGCAGTTCGCCCAGGTTGCGTCGCAGGGCTCTGTTGGCCGCCTCACAGACCTTGCAGGTGAAGTGGTGACCGTGCTTGCGCCCTTGGACCTCCTCAAAAAACTCAGCGCAGTAGCGGCACTTGCAGCAAGGTTCGGCCATGCCGGGACCAGCAGCGAGACGAGGCAGGCGGGACCTGGACCTGGCTTCAATTACTATGAGCCCAAAAACGACGGCGGCGTACATCGAATTGCATGGATTTTTTGACACGAAATCCTAAACCAATTTTCTTTAATTAAAAAAAACGCCGATAGCAAAAATTGAAAAATGAACATCGGCGAAAGCCCGCGAAAGTCTGCGAATGGAATTGCATGGAGTATTTTGATACGAAATCCTAAACCTGAATTAAGATGTTTTTGAAAAAATCTTGAATTCCGGTCGCAAAAATTGAAAACTGAATGTCTGCGAATGTCCGAAAACATCCGCGAATATCCGCGGGGTGACGGTGTCCGCGCAGGTCCGCGGATTTTTTCCTCTTCAACGAATTCTAAATCCTGGGATGACCGCGTATGTCCACGCCGGATGGAAATCCGCGAATGACCGCGGTCATTCGCGGATTTCCAGCCGGAGTGGACATACGCGGTCATTCAATGATTTAGAATTCGTTGAAGAGGAAAAAATCCGCGGACCTGCGCGGACACCGTCACCCCGCAGTCATTCGCGGGCATTCGCGGACGTTCGCGGATGTTCAGTTTTCAATTTTTGCGACCGGAATTCAAGGTTTTTTCAAAAAAAAATAATTCAGGTTTAGGATTTCGTATCAAAATATTCCATGCAATTCCATTCGCGGTCTTTCGCGGGCATTCGGGTTTAGGATTTCGCGTTCGAAATTTCAGAAAAATTGGAAGCGGAGAAACACCGCCTGTTTTTTTTGCAAACTACCTAATTACGCTTGTAGCAGATTCCGGCTACTCAGACGTTGTTCTTCTCTGGCAAGCACTTCTTCAGTCCATGTTTCCACAAGGCACATTCCCTTTCCCATTGCCTCTTGGCGCAATGGACTGTAGGAGTGCGGGGACGGTTTTCTTTGTCTGAGTCAGACGTAGCCAAGCTCATGAATGCTTTTGCATCCTGATATTCCTTCGACTCCTTGATAAAACGAATGAGTTGCGTGCGCTTCTCAGTCGTGCGAATCCGTTGCTGTCCCGCGTTGGCAGACTCAACAGGGGGTAGCACAGACGGCTGCACCTTCCTAGGCAGGGCTTTGTCCACAAGACCCACTGGCAGGGGCTCGGTTTCCAAGCGCTGGTGTGCGCCGGAAGACATTGCAGCTAAAAGGAGGGCTGCTACGTGCCTTATACTGCTACTGCAATCGAGCCCGATACAGATGCGGCAACGTTCTACATGCATTTCTAACACACACCCGACAAACTTAAAGCAAAACATATTAGGCATACGGAAGCGGTAAAACTGCGATAACTGGAAGCGGAAAAACCGCCTTTTTTTCTCCTCTCACTCCTGCTTGCGTTTGCGGTAATGCTGCTTGTACTTGGCCTTGTTCTTGCCTCCGGCAGAACGGTTTTGGCCGAAGGCTTTGCGATACTTTGCTCGCTTCGACACGGGGGATTCAGCAGGTTGGCCGTCCGCCTCAGGGCCACGGCTGCTGCTAGCGGTCTCACTTCGAAACGCAGCAGGCACGCCGTCTGAAGCTGTTGAGGTTTCGCCAGGCTTAAGCAGTCTCAAAAACTTACGCAGGGGTGGCGCAGAGGCCGGGCCGGCTGCAGGTGCAGACACCGGGACAGACGCCACTGCTTCTTCCTCGGACGGAGTAGACACGGGCGACGCCTCGGCCTCTGGCGTTGCTGGTGACACAGGAGACGTCTGGTCGACATCTATCTTCACTTCAGCCAGCATGGGCGGCCTGCTAGGCGGCTCCATGGGAGAATCCTGTGTTGGGATCTCCAGCGTCGGCGCGCGCAGCGGCTCCACGGCGCTGGAGCTGGGCTCGCACGGGTCAGGCGCAGCAGGTTCTGGCAGCTCCTCCTTAACCTGCAAGGCGGCAGTTATTACCTTGCGCCGGTTGGGCGGGTCGCAGCCGGACATCCCCGAAAATGCCTCTGACCACCAAACTCTCTCGAACCAAAACAGCTACGGGGTGAGACTGTCCGAGAGGGTCTAGGTTTTAGGGGGTAGGGCTTCTATACAGGTTAGGTTTAAGGTCTGAGGTCTATAAGCGGAAAAACCGCAAATATACTAGGCAGTGGCTAAGCTCAAAAGTTACTTCTTTTTTCCGTCTCTCCAGCCGAGGAGTGCAGATGCCAGCCGGGCTCTGCTGCTACATCTCGGGATGGGCATGTGGATCTGGTACCAGAGTTTGTCTACGAGCCCCTAAACCCTCTAGACCTTAAACCGGCTGTGATCTAATGCCCAAGCCCCTGCTGCTACGGTGCCTACAAAAGCTTGCTGAGGACTCTATTGCGTTGCGTACAACAACAAGACAAAGAAGCCTGTAAAGTTTAGACCTTATCCGGGCTTTAAGGTTTCAGGTTTGGTTTAGGGTGGGACACAGAGCAATAGAGTCCATAGGCAAGAATGTGCAGGCAGCGTGCTGCGGTTTCCTACTGCTCATGCTCACCGCGCAACATTGCGCTGGTGAGCTCTAAGAACTGCTGGTGCGTCTGGAGGAGCTGGCTGAGGTTGGAACTCGAGCTAGTGCCTTGTGGGGGCTCGCTGCGCACTTTGGCCTTGGGCGCGCCGCGGTCAGGAACCACAATAGGCACCGTGTCCACGCTCCTCGTGCGGCCTGTGTTCTCCACCAGCTGCTTGGAGGCTCTGACGGGCTCGCCGGGCTTCTGCTGTCGCGGCTCTCCAGCTGGCTCCGTAAGCGTCCGGCTGGACCAAGCTTCCTGGGCCCCAGCTGAGCGTCCCTTTCAGCCAGCCCGTGCTTGCTGACCAGGTGCTGGTAAATGGCCCACTCGGTCCAGGCAGCCAGGGCTTTTGCGGTCCTCCCGGCTTTCGCTGTCACTGTGACTCCGCACGTGCGCAGGCGACGGCTCCCGCTGCGGCATCGCAGTACCTGCAACAGGGTGTATGTGCATATTATATATTTATATATATTTTATACTATTTACATAATATACATATATGCTGTTCATATATATATATACCACAAGAAGTACTGCTCACTCCACATGCAGCGCCTCACGGCCCTACTCCCAGAGTGGGTGTGGTGAGGTAAGCTGACACACTGCAGCGCCTCACCGCCCAACTCTATAGGAGCGGGTGTGGTGAGGTAAGCTGCTCGTCACAACACCTCGCAGCGCCTCACCGCCCAACTCCAGGAGTGGGTGTGATGAGGTAAGCTGCTCGTCAAAACACCGCGCAGCGCCTCACCGCCCGACGCCAGGAGTGGGTGTGATGAGGTAAGCTGCCCTTGCTACAGCAGAGCTTACCAGGCAAAGAGAAGGTGCAGCAAGCTTGCAAACTGTTAAGTCTAGGGAAACCTGGCCTTCTGGACAGCGCAGCAAGCGCAGCGGCTACTTCTGCCTTTACACCGGAAGCCCACACAAAGTAAAAAAAAGTGCAAGCAGTTAAGTTTAAACCAGAACTGGCCTTCTTGGGAACGAGCGGCAAGGGAGGCAGCTACTCCTGTCTTAGCAGGAAACCCACTACTCCCACCTTTGAAGCTTCAAAAGCTGCGGAAAAAGAACTCAGACTTATAATACTGCAACACGAAGCGGAAACCCCGCCGAAACAGATGCGGAAACCCCGCCAAAAGCAACGAGAAGCCTGGATACTATGATTTTCCTTGCTTCGGACTTCAAGCAGTAGCAGCTCACGCGCGTCAAAACTACAGCATCTTGAAAAAGATGCCAAGATCGGCAGAAGTGAAGCGATCTCCGTCCACAGTTGCACTGCAGTCTTCTAAGACAAAACCGTATAACTACGCTTGACCCAGCAACTTCTACAGCAGCCCGGAACCCAGCGGCACCTCGAACAGCCTTGCGGCTTCATCTGAAGCCGCTGCTCGCGCGTAACTGTCCTCTCTCGCCCCGCTGGACGTTTGTTGCAGCTCGAACTTGTGGCCGCAGCAGGACGCTTCTTGCTGGTCGCAGTGCTCACCTTCGTTAGTGGCTCCGACAGGTTCGCTGCAGGTCGCTTCTTCGTTCCAGGGACTGGCTCCGTGAAGTTCCCTGCAGGTCGTTTCTTCGAAACCGAAGAAGACTCTTTTGGCAAGTCCAAAGTCACGGATCTGTCCATCTGCTTGTGCAGACTTGCCAGCTGCTGAGGCACGCTCAAAGGCTGCTGGGCTGCTTCTTGCTTTGCAGTCGGCGCCGTAGCCAGCGTCCCCAAAAGCTCTGAACGCACTGGCTCTGCCTTGGGCCCCTCTGGCTCTACCGCCTGACTCGCCTCTAGCACGCAGAGCTCTGGGTCTGGTGTGGGTGCTGGCATTTCAGATTCTGCAGGCCTAGCAAAATCTGACTGACAGGGTGCGTCTTGCAAAAGTCCTGGCGGACGAGCTCGAAGACTGAGTGTCGCCTTGACTATCAGACTGCAGGAAATGGCCGATGAATGCCTGGCAGGAGGAAAGATGCGCAAGCCTGGACACTGAACGACCCCGAAACCTGAGGACCAACCCCTTCCAGAAGCAAGTCCAAGAACCTCTGACCCAGGTTCGTTTGCCCAGCCGGTGGAAGAGGCAGACGTGGCTTAGGCTTAGACACAAGACTGTTGCTTCGGCGAAGTGGCAACATGTTCGCAACCTGCAAGATGTTCTGCCTGATAAACTGAGGATGCTCTTCGGGGAAAACGCCATCTGAATAAGCAGCCTTGCGCAGAGTCTCGGGCAGACTCTCCCAGCTCGCAGGAAGAACCGACAAGCAATCGGCCCCACCAAAAGAGCATAACCGCTAGCGAGCTCCAGTCCCTCCTCCTTGAAACCTTGCCAACCAAGCAAAGTGACAAGCACAGCTAGCGTTCCCTCTGAAGGATTGCGAAGGCCCAACGCGGCTGCGTGCAGGGCCAAAGCTTGAAGGCAGTCAGGCT